GACATCAACACCAAGAAGGAGGACATGATGTTCCACAAGATCTACATCCAGAAGCACGACAACGTCAGGTGCGGGGATGGGGAGCTGGGTGCGCGGGGACCCCCAGGCACTGTTGGGGGGCCCTGTCTGGGGGGCTCCTCTGCACCCGCGAGAATCGCCCTGGGTAACTGAGGCCCGGCCTGGGCCCCTGCGACAGGGACCCGCTGGCGGCAGCTAGGCCCCAAGGGACACGCAGGGTTGGGGGGGCCTGTGGGGCTCTGGGGTTAGGAGTGTGGGGCAGGCGGAGCTCCGCCTTGGGGAGCAGCCCCTGGGTATGGCAGGGTGGGGACCTGCCCTGGAGGATGCTTGGCTGAGGCAGTGGGTATTGGGGTGCCTGGCGGGGCACTGGGGGGCGTCTGGGGCACAGGGAAGGGGGTTGGAGGTCCAGGCACTTTGGGACCTAGTGGCTGAGGCGGGGGGAAGTGTCTGAGTCTCTGCTCGCTCTCCCCTCCTCTGCAGCATCCTGTTCGCAGACATCGAGGGCTTCACCAGCCTGGCCTCCCAGTGCACGGCCCAGGAGCTGGTGATGACGCTCAACGAGCTGTTTGCACGCTTTGACAAGCTGGCCTCGGTGAGCGCGTTGTGGGGTGCTTCGTGTTCTGGGGGGCGGCAAGCTGGGGGCTGGTGGGATATGGGGGGTGGGGTAGGCTGGGAGCAGGGTGGGGGGCTGGCTGGGGGTGGTTGGCAAGGGGGGGCAGGCTGGTGGGTGGGGTCTGCCTGTGGGCTGGTGTCACTGGGCAGACCCCATGAGCCCCCCTCTGCCCCTCTCGCAGGAGAACCACTGTCTGCGGATCAAGATCCTCGGTGACTGCTATTACTGTGTGTCAGGGCTGCCTGAGGCGCGGGGAGACCACGCTCACTGCTGCGTGGAGATGGGGGTCGACATGATCGAAGCCATCTCGTGAGTTGCGGGGGGAAGCCCTGGGCCAGCCGCTCACATCGTCGCACCCACGTGCTTGTGCACTGCACGCAGCCCCCAGCCTCGTGCGTGGCACGCACCGATGATGCACAGGCACCTGCAGTGCACGGTGCACATTTGCCGTTGGTGCAGTGCACGCTTGCCCTATGTACAACACACACCGTGCACCTGCTCCGTCCGTTGATGCGTACGCGCTACACCCAAGCCACGTGCTCCGGGGGCTCGCTCCGCTCACGCAGGCTCTCCCCGACTTGTGCGGCAGACCAGGGTCACGCCCAGAGCTGGCACACTCAGGCAGGATGAGGTGCGCCCCCTCCCCCCTGCCGTGCTGCTCGCGAGGGGCCGGATGGTTCATGTCACCTGCCCCGGACACATCTGTGTCTCGCCAGCCTGGCACAGCCGTGACTTGCCATTGTTCTCTCCATGGCGAGCAGGTCACACCCGCTCCCTTGTGCTCTGGGGTCCCCCTCTGCTGCGGGGGGTGGGCAGGTCTGACGCTCTCTGTGCCCCCCCAGGCTGGTGCGCGAGGTGACGGGGGTGAACGTGAACATGCGGGTGGGCATCCACAGCGGGCGCGTGCACTGCGGGGTGCTGGGGCTGCGCAAGTGGCAGTTCGACGTCTGGTCCAACGACGTGACCTTGGCCAATCAGATGGAAGCCGGAGGCAAAGCTGGGTGAGTGGAGGATGCGGAGGGGGGGGGCTCACGGCTAAGAAGGATCAGACTGGGGCAGTGCCTAGATGGGAGCCCCCTGGGAAACAGCCTGCTCAGCAGGGGGCTCTCTCCCCTGCAGTCAGCGCTGGCCCCTCTGTGGTGCCAGGGGAGCTGTGCTGCAGGGGGCAGGCGGGGGCGCAGTGGGGCACTCACCCCAGTGGGTGCAGGGGGCTCAGTGGGGTGCTGGGGGCACTGTACTGCAGGGGACAGGTGGGGGGCTCTCCCCAGCAGTCAGCGCTGGCCCCAGGGCAGCGCTAGGAGGCTGCACTTCAGGGGTCTCAGTAGGGGGTGCTCTCCTCGCAGTTCCCGCCTGTGGCTGTGGGTTAAGCAGCTGCTCTGTCCTGCCCCGGAGGGTGGGGGCCCCGTCCCGGGGACTCTCGCGCTGGGGGTGCGGCGGGTTAGACAGGGAATGGGGGGGCATGACTCTTGGGCTCAGCGTCCTGCCCTCCTACCCCCCACCCCAGGCGCATCCACATCACTTGGGCAACGCTTCAGTACCTGAACGGGGACTACGAGGTGGAGCCCGGCCACGGGGGCGAGCGTAATGCCTACCTCAAGGAGCACAACATCGAGACCTTCCTCATCGTGGGCTGCAGCCAGAAGCGCGTGAGTCTGGGAGCCGGGCTTGGGGGTGGGGGCGATGCGTCCCCGGCACGGGGGGCCGCCTCTCTGGGGGGTGAGCGTTCGGGGGTGGGGCTGACTCTAGTGGGTGCTGGGTAGGGCAGGTGCTCGGGGCGGGGGCGGGTGCTGGGTGGAGGGACGCTCCAACGGGTGCTGGTGGGGTGCCTCGGTGGGGCCCCTCACCCTGCGCCCTCCTCTCCCCGAGCAGAAGGAGGAGAAGGCTATCCTGGCCAAGCTGCAGCGGGCGCGGGCCAACTCCACGGAGGGGCTGGTGCCGCGCTGGGTGCCCGACCGCACCTTCTCCCGCACCAAGGACTCCAAGGCCTTCCGGCAGATGGTGAGTCGGAGGGGGGCAGTGGGGGGGGTCTTTCTCTGCCCGGGGGCGAAGGAAGGAAGGAAGAAGAGGGTCTCTGTCAGCTGGAGTCTGGGCCTGGCCTGTGGGAGGGGTGGGTCTCGTTGGTCTGCATGTCGGGGGTTCCCCTAACCAAGGCGGGGGGCATGTGGGAGTGGGGCCCGCCCATGCATTGACCCCTCTGACACTGGTGCTCCATGCCGCTTCCAGGGCTCACTCAGTCCTGTCTGGAGAGGGGAGCTCCCCCCACCCCTGTCTGCCAATGTGCCCCCCCTTCCTGCCCCTCTCCCCTCACTCCAGCACTTTGAATTGGTTTTCCCCAGCTCGCTTCCTGCCCCCCCTGGGGGGCTGCGCTGGGAGCGGGGGGGGGCAGTTCATCCTCATGGCGCATGTATGGTTGGTTGCTATGGAATGGCTTGTTTGCACAGTTGCCATTCTGCCCTTTGTTGTCATGACGCCAGGCGCTAGGGCATGGCTGGGCTCTGGTGTGGCCCCAGGCGCCAGGGCACAGTCTGCGGCGTTTGCCCTGCCGGTTGCTTTGCTTCGGTGCATCGGCATGGTGCCGGTTGCTATGGCGCAGTCCAGCATCGGTTGCCATGGAATGGCTCACTGTCAGCCTGGAGCTGGTTGCCATGGAGCCGGTTGCTATAGCACAATCTCTCATCTGTGCAGTGCCCGTTGCCATGGCACGGCTGGACGTGGCTGCCCCGCTGGTGCCTGGGTGGGCAGTGTGGTGGGGCAGGTGGGCCAGTACATCCTGCGCCGTGAGCCCGTCTCTGGGCCAAGCCATGGGGCTGGTGTCTGGAGGTGGGGAAATGGGGTGTGGGAGCCGCACGGGGCCACTTCTGCTGGTCCAGCCAGACTGTGGAGGGGGGAGGGGCAGAGCCCTTAGATCCTTCCTGCCTTGCATCTCCCCCCTCCCCCCCCTCCAGTGCTGCCCAGCTCCCTTCCTGTGGGGCGCAGGCCCAGGGGCGCAATGCTGCCACCCCGCTGTAGGTCGCCAGGGCTCATCGGCTGGTGAAGGGTCCCCCCCACATGCCCTGCCAGGGAACAGCACCGGGAGCTGGGGGAAGGCGGCACGGGGGGTGGGGGGGATGCGGCTGTCCCAGGGGAGAGGATGCTGCACCGCGGGCATTATGATGGCCTTGTGGATGGAGACCCGGACTCCTGGGTCCTGTCTCTGGTGCTCTGCCCCTGCTCTGGTGCGACGCCTCAGGCAAGTCTCTGCCTCAGTTTCCCTTCCTGTCCCCTGCCTGTACACAGCACAATGCCTGGGGGGTGGCGCACTCTGCTGAGTGGCAGCGTTAGCTTGGGAGCAAGGGGGGCGGGATCAGTAAGAAGGATCTTGGGGGGGGGGGGGGGGGGGGGCGGGGGGGGGGGGGGGGGGGGCCCCCCCCCCCCCCGCGGGGGGGGGGGGGGGGGGGGCCCCCGGGGGGGGCGCCCCCCCCCCCCCCCCGTGGGGAGGAGGAGTGACACCCTGAATCTCCCCTGACACCCTCTCTCTCTGTCTGCAGGGCATCGAGGACGCTAGCAAAGACAAGTAAGTGCGCCCAGCCCCTGGGGGAGCCCCTCACTGCAGGGCCCAGGAACCGCTGCCCGGATGGCCCCGGGCTGGGGCATGGAAGGTGCCCCGAGGGGGGGTCACAGACTCGCAAGCTGCAGCAAAAGCGGGGTGGCAGGCTTGGGGGGGGAAGGGGGCAGCAGGGGGGCTCCTGGCGCAAAGGGGGACAGGGAGGCTGCTGTGCTCACCCCCCCCCCGTGACCCCACAGCCGCAGCGCGCAGGAGGCCCTGAACCCCGAGGATGAGGTGGACGAGTTCCTGGGCCGGGCCATCGACGCCCGCAGCATCGACCAGCTGCGCAAGGATCACGTCAAGAAATTCCTGCTGACCTTCCAGACGCCAGAGCTGGAGAAGAAGGTACTGGGGCCCTCTGTCCCACCCCCCACCCCACCCTGCCCCCCCGCGGGGGCCCCCTGTCCCCCCCCCCCCCCCCCCTTAACCACCCGCCCCCCCCCCTCCAGCAGTAACCCTGCCCCCTCTCCCCACAGTACTCCAAGAAGGTGGATGATCGCTTTGGGGGCTACGTGGCCTGCACACTGCTCGTCTTCTGCTTTATCTGCTTTATCCAGTTTGTGATGTTCCCACGGTAAGTCCAGTCCCCCCCCCCCCCCCCCCCCCCCCCCCCCC